GCCACATTGAAACCCCATGCCTCCGTGACCCGAATATCCTGGGGAGGACTTGGCTTGTCTATAGGAGACAGACCCAGCTGGAGCAGCTTACCTCCTGGTGCTGCCTGAGCAAGGGCAGGGGACTCCAGGCTCAAGGGCCCCCATCAACCGTGCCAGCCTGGACCTGGCTGTCATCTTTTGCAGGGCTCTGGGCATCCCAGAGGAGGGGCCCCAGGACTGGAAGATGTAAAGCTCTTGGGCGGGGGTGGGGGTGGGGAGAAGTCCTTGGTGTTGGGTCCTGGCAGCCCAGCTCAGGGACAGGCAATGAGCAGGCTCAGAGGGAGGGCCCAGTGCCACGCACCAACGATCTGTAGGACCAGTGTCGCCTTGTCCTCCATGCTCTCAATGCGCAGAGTCACCTGGTAGGTGCCAGAGTGGGCACGGCGAGCGGCCCGGATGAACAGGATGGTGTCTGTGGGGCTGTTTCGGATGCTCACCTCCTCGCCTGCCAGTGGCTGCCCCTCTTTGGTCCAGGTCACCTGAGGTCGGGGCTTGCCCTGTGAGAAGGGACAGCTCACCCCCAAGCCTGGCTCTCCCTCAGGGCCGGCCACCACCCCAGCCTCGCATGCTCAGGTGAGGTCTCAGGGTGAGGTTAGCCCTGAGACACGCCCTTCTGCTAGGCATGAACAACACGCCGAGGGGCAGCGAAGGAGGCCAGCCCTACCTGGAAAGGAATGAGGAGGTTCACGGGCTCCCCGACTCTCTTCAGGATGGTCTGGCGTAGGTGCCTGGGCAGCTGCAGCCGTGGCCGCTCTGTGAGTTCAGAGTGGGTGGCTCAGCGAGGACCCACCATAGCCCAAGGCCTGAGGAGCGCCTCAGCTCCACTCGCTTTTGAGGCAGGGCCCAGAGAGCTGCAGCGAAGGAAAGTGCTGCCTCCTGGGCGCTCCCCCACTTTTGCTCCCCCTGATCCTAACCCCAAATGGTTCAGAAAGCTCCTGCTTCCAGCTGAGGCTCACCACACCACTACAAGAGGCAGGGATCAGAGAGGGTGAGCAACTTGTTTGAGGTCACACAGGCCAGGATACAAATCTAGGCTTTTGGACCCCATGTCCCATGCTGTTTCGACCCCTTTTTCCCCTTTGAGAATCAGTCCTTCGTTGGGAATAGAGAAATAGGAAGTGGATCCCAGATGGGCCAATGTGGCTCTGAGTGGCCTCACTGCTCAATCCTGAGCACACGGACAATACCTATCTGTTAGAGCTGAGAGACTCACAGAACAGAAGACGATGATATAATGACTTAAACACCTTCCCTGTTCCAGACGGGGGCTGACATGAAAACCAAGGGGGTGACTTTCTATACAGGTCTCCCTCTTCTGGGGCATGGATAAAGGCTTGGACCCCTCCTGTCCCCCTGCCCAGTGGTTAGCCCCTCCCTCTAGTAGGGTCTCACTATCCCCACCTCCACTGGCACCCAGAGTCAGGGTGTCAGTGGCAGGTCTTAACAACTGCACAAGGGGCACTCACGCAATATCTCCTGCACCGTCACAGGCTCCTTGGTGGTGATGGGGGCTCCAGGCCCTGCCACATTGTGTGCTCGCACCCGGAAAAGCAGCCGGGCCCCTGTGGGCAGGTCCTTCACCAGCATCGATGTGCGCTCTGTCAGTCCCTGAAGGGCAGCCACCCACTCTGAGCCTGAGGGCGGGGGTGGGGAGGCAAGACCATAGGCAATGTCAACATCGACACCCCACCCTGCTGCCCACCTGCTGGTGGCTGTCTGAGGTCTCCACTGCAGACAGGGCCCAGCAGGGTGACAGATGCCTGGCCTGGGGGACAGTTCAGAGAAGGGTGCTGGCTGTGGGCCCAGGGCCAGGCAGGGGACACTCACTGCCCTCCTGGCAGTACTCCACACTGTAGCCATCCAGGCCTCCAGCCCCTTCACGCTCCGGGGGCCGCCACTTGAGGGTGACAGTGGTGTCCGAGATATCCTCCACTGCCAGGTGGGTGGGCTCACTGGGGGGGCCTGGGCAGAGGAGAGATCGGAGAGGGGGCTGAGTCACATAGGGGGCTTCCCTTAGGCTGGCTTTCAAATATTTCAGCTCCATTAAGAGACATGTCTCTAGATAGGCCTAAAAGCAAACAATTACAAAAGAAGTCTCTAAATAGGAAAAAATACCCAAAGGACACAATAGAGCTTAAAAGGAGCCACTTCTGCCCGATAACTTAGGAAATGCTCTAAGGTAATTTAAGGAAAAAACTAGCCTGAAACCTGGGAGTTTCCTGGAGCTGTATAATTAGGTGAGTTGACTAAGAGTTGAGCAAACTGGAAGGCAGGCCCTAAAGACAGAGGCCTGGAGCCTTCTCCCCACAGGCATCCCTTCCTGCCATCTCCCCAAGCTGTGTCGCCTTCCTGGGCTGGAGGGGATGCCTGCCTCGGCCTCAGCTGCCCCCGCAGGCTCACAGATCCCGGTAGGGACAGTTGTCCTCAAGAAACTGCCATACCCTCAGTGTCTGTTCTACCCTCTCAACCCCCATTATACAGATGAGGAAACAGGCTTCAG